CTTTTGATTTGCATACATGTTACAGTATTCTTTAGTATACAAGAGTGTGTGTGTGTCACATAGCAGAGCAGGGCTGTTCCTCCGTCCACCCCACACACCGTATCTCTGCCGTTTCCTCAGGCTGGATGTCAACCCCAGCCGCTCGGTGAAAGGATTATTTGCTCAGGTTCCCACCCAAAGTCTCTGGCTGTGTTCCGGTGGAGACTTTCTGCAGGATATGAATAAGAGATGAAATCCACACACACACAGATGGCCTGCCCGGCCTTTGTAAATAAATGAAAAGAACTTCCCAGTAAGCCGCCACTGTGCGCCTTCTGAATCACACTTAAAGAATCTTTCTTCTCGGAGACAAGTGACGGTCTTCATGCCTTTTAGACACGTAGTGCCAGAGTCCCCAGCTGGTCCCATCTCCCAGACCCAGGACAGGTTTCCGAAATCTGTTTGGACCAGCTGCACAAAATGCTCGGTCTCTATACTTCCTCATGTATACACCCTGCCAGTCACCCCACATTTTATTCATTAAAAATTGTGCAGTTTAATGTCTCAGTTTACTTAAAGAAGAACTCCAGAAATGTTAAAAAGGGGGCTACCCCCACGCTGCACGGGTTACATGCTTGTTTTATCTCGTTTTATCTAGAAGGCTCAAATAAAGCAAACTCCCTTACCTGAACCTCGGGCTTGCTGGCTTTCTCCGAGCTGCTAGAATGTTCTCTGCAGCATCTTCTCCCAGGGGCTCCAGCAGTCTAAGGACCACTGACATCATCACGTCTTATACAGGTCCATTGACTTGCATGAGATGTGAGGAAGCTGAGAGACATTCCACAGGCAGGGAGAGAGGCCATTGCTGACCGAGGATAAGGTGAGTAAAACTGCTTTATTTGACCATTGGATGAATTTTAATCTTTAAAGTAGCCAAGCACACTAAGAAGCTGTCCTTTAATAAAAACTAGGAACATGGTGGCGTTCTCAAACTTTTGACCAGTTGTGTGTATATAAATCTCCACATGGCTCCTGAGAACCTCCTGTATCTGCTCCGCTGAGCACCTCGCTAAGACCAAACCAAGAACACTGCAGCACTTCCCTGTGTGACTTTATAGGTCATTGTAGGGTCAATTCCCTGCTGGCCAGTTTATCAGGAAATGGGTTTGGTATGTGTGCTTTTTCCCAGGATCTCTTACCTAATTATAACAAACAGCATGTTGTTTTAGACCGAGGAACAGCTACTAAGGTGTTTTAGACATAATCTGTTAAAGTAAATCTGCCGGCAGTTGGCAGAAGATTCAATAATGGTTCCTCTGCATAGCAGGTGCTGTGCAGTGCCCCATTGTATTGCACCGGTGCCTCCCCACTGCCCCGGGTGCTGCAAAAAAAACCCCTTTTAGGGTTTAGGATGAAACTACACCCCTCAGTTTTTCTGCAAGAGGTGTGCTTGCGCGCGCTAAGCCCTATGCAAATTCTGATTTTCGGTAAGTTACATAGGAGAGTGACGGCAGAAAAAGACCTGGTGGAGCCCAGCAATGACAGCTATGGCGACCGGAAGTGATGCTGGCCTGAAACATGGACACAGCACATACAGGACTCAAAACCCGGACTGTCTGGGTGACACCCGGACAGGTGACAACACTAACTGGAGGAAACTTTACGAAGTGGTCTGACTCTCCCATCATCGCTACAAGATCTTAGGGAAAAATGTATGCAACTGGACGGAAATAAATGTTGTGACATTACATAAGCTTATCAAATGATACCACAGAGAATGCGTGCTGTAATCAAAGCTAAAGGCGTTCCAAAGACATATTAGTGTGAGGCCTGGCAATGCATTTGGTTTTGTACACCGGCATGTGTTCACATTAGAAATAATTTTCTCTCCATAAAAGTAAGTCTGAATGTTGATGCAGCTTAGAAGCAACTCACGAGCATCTGAAAGTGATCTTCAGTGGCCCCGGGGAGCATGCTGCATTGCGGGTCTCAAGGGTCCAGTTTTTCTGGCAGTTGCTGGCAGTTTTACGGTAATTCCTCCCCCTGTGCTGGGGAACCGCTGATGGCCACTTAAGTACTCGGCACCCTTACAGGCTGTATAGGGACAAATAAACCTTAGATCACAGCTCAGACCTTATTCTCAGACGTGTATTATACACAGTTCCTATATGCAATGTTCTTTGTATGTATATTTATATATATATATATATTATATAGCGCCAACAGTTTGCGCAGCGCTTTACAATGTAAGGAAGACATCACAATTCAAGACAAGATGGTAAGGAGGGCCCTGCCCGGGAGGGCTTACAATCTAAAAGGGAGGGGGGAGTGATACATGAGGAGGTAGCTGTGTAGAATGTGATAGTCCAGTGGTTAGGTTGAGGTGGGATAGTCTTCCCTGAAGAGATGAGTCTTAAGGGATCGCCTAAAGGCAGTCAAGGTGGGAGATAGACGGACAGGTTGGGGTAAAGAGTTCCAGAGGATGGGAGAGACTCTGGAGAAGTCCTGGAGGCGAGTATGGGAGGAGTTGACGAGGGAGCTGGAAAGCAGGAGGTCTTGAGAAGATCGGAGCCGACGGTTAGGGTGATATTTTGAGACAAGGTTTGAGATATAGCCGGGGGCAGAGTTGTGGATGGCTTTTATAAGTGATTTGTTAATATTATAAATTTTATCCTTTGGGCAAGTGGAAGCCAGTAAAGGGATTGGCAGAGGGAGGTTGCAGACACTGAGTGGTTGGTCCGGTGGATTAGTCTGGCAGCTGCATTCATGATAGACTGAAGGGGGATAGCCTGTGTAGTGGAAGACAAATGAGGAGGGAGTTGCAATAGTCAAGACGAATATATATATATATTTTGAATATTTTTCTTTGTTTTCTTGCAGATTGGCGAGGCAGTTACAGAAGGAAGTTCAGTCCCCGGCCAATTGCTCCGACTTCACTGAAGATCACAAGGTAAAGTAAGGGCTCTCACACGCAGATTGCCTTCCCATCGTTGGGTGAAAAGGAAGAGACCGGAGCGGTCAGTTGTCTGTGATGTTACAGAGTGTGTTGTAGCTGAACACCCAATGTGTGTGTGTGTGTGTGTGTGTGTAAAAATCAGAACCAAATGTGGGAGTGAATTGTGTATGGGCAGCTGGGCTAAAGGGAATCGTTGCTTTAAAAAAATATGGAAGATGACATCACTGTCCTCCTCCTCAAAGTGTATTTCTACTTTGTTTTGGAAAGAGTAAGAAAGGATTTGAGACCATGTCCAGTGTTTTTGTTTTTTCCCCACTTCTCTTCCTATCCCAATGATGTAACGGGAAATCAAGACAGGAAGTGAAATCTCCCTAACGCAGCCATTCTTAACTGGGGTGCCTCCAAATTTTAACACAGCATCATGCATATCCATGGGGCAGGCGTGCTGGCCACAAGGATCATAGAAATGCATAACCCTAATCCCGGGTTAGGTGCCCTAGCATTCAGAGTAAGATGGAAGTCTGCCTCCCTCCTTATGCCATGTTTCCACCGTTGTGCTATGGTGAGGAATAAAGAATAGAACTCTGATGTAAAGGGGGGATCTTGATGTGTAAAGTGTGGGGGTATCTGATGTGAAGCAGGGAACCCCATGTTATGTTTTTTCTTTGTGTAGAGTAACCGTTAAAGTCCAGAGCAGACCCCCCCCTGTCAAGGACCACACATCGGTTTTTACATGTTAGACTGTGGTGCCTCCAGACTTTGCATACTTGAAGGGAGTTGTGACAAAAAAAATTAAAAAAATCTTGAGAAACCCTGCTTTAGTGAAACACAAACGGGGGAAATGCCAGGGCCTGTCCCAGCTGCAAACACTGCGCCCCTGGTTGTTCTGCCACTGACTCTAAGCTGTAGAGGGACTACAAATCTCAGCAATGCATTATACAGCAATGCAGAATACCACCAGCTATCGAGAACCACAGATCTCAGCAATGCAGAATAATACCATCAGCTAGCGAGGACTACACATCCCAGCAATACATTTATACAGCAATGCAGAATAATACAATCGGCAAGCGAGGACTACACATCCCAGCAATACATTATACAGCAATGCCGAATAATATGAAGCTACATACTCTGCTACTCCAGGGTGCCGGCCCAATGTCTCCAGCGGAGGATCTCGGGAGGGCTACGTGGGGTCTTAGGGGGGTACTCGTGACAATGCTCGGTGTCGGCACTGATACCAGTATCGGTGCATCCCTAGTTTTAACCCTCATACAGTACCGTGTGATACCTACCATGTGGCAGGTGCGTTGTCATTCAGTTGAATGGCACCCCAATGAAGCTCCCAACCGCAACACGAGGTACCAGGGTGCCATGCAATGAACAAAGTGCATTCACTACTTTTTTTTCACTGCAATGCATGGTATTGAGGTACTGCTCATTATGCTGCATGGTACCGTGCAAAACATGCACTGCAGAGGTGTGACTGGGCCCTAAAACGTTTCTAAATCAAAAATGTATATTGCAGCTTACCAGTCCATTAGGTGTGGTAGCTGTTAGCTTCACCTGGTGATTCTGCCAATGACACACTTCCTGTGTTAGGGTGACAACGTTCACTTACCATAATGTATTAGGACAACAGACACAAGATAGGACTACAGAACATGGTGGGCGGGGGTTCTGTAGTCTTTAGATATTAAAGTAGCATTAAGGGTGTTTTTTACCTTAATGCATTCTCTGCATTAGGGTGAAAACGACCCAGCACCTTTTTTCTACCCCAGTGCCCTCCACACTTACCTGTCAGCTGCGCTCGTCCCCGCCGCCGGTCCAAAGAGATCCTCCGTTCCCTGAACTTCTGGGTTGCAGGGGAGGATACTGATGGCAGGGGAGCCATAGGCTCCTTCTGCCATCAATCAGAGAAGGGGCGTGGCCTGCCACAGGGCTGTGTGTGTCTATGGACGCACACAGCCACTGCTGAAACGAGCGTGCACGGGTGCCTCCATTAGAACGATGGTGGCACCTGTGCAGGGCGTGGGGGGAAGTGCGCTGCGGGGAGCCATTAGAAAACGAGGAATTTGGAACTTTTAAAGAGTAAAATCAACAGCCTCCAGGAAAGGAGGATCTCCTTAAAGGAGAAATAAAAAAAAAATAACAAATCTGCTCAAAAGATTTCCGGCAAGATCAACAGGTATGTTTTGTAACTTCTCAAACGGATATTACAAAATGTATTCAATGGTATAATAAACAGACAAGATATTTTGAGTGAATCTATCCTCCCTCAGATTCCTGTGCTATAACCCGGCCTTTCACCGCCCGGCGGGGTCAAAGACTTCCTGTTTGATCTCCAGGGGAAAGTCTCCAGACCTCTCAGGCGTGTACCGTGTATATAATTAGGTACTGCAGTGTTAGAAAGCCGAGGGGGGGGGGGGGGGGGGGGTCCTTCTAAAAAAAAAATATCCTTGGCCAAGACTACGAATACTTCCAGGCCTACAAATCTGCATCTCATTTAGTCCCTCTTCATGTAACAAGACAATATAACATTCTTGAAAGATTATCTCAGCCCCCTAAACGAGCCGAAACAGGAAAGACGCATCAAGAAGTGAAATCCTTAATGGCCTTTGAAGGCCTCCCACCCTGGGCCCGGTGGGTGAGTCTTGAGCGGGGCCTGGAAGACTTTGTCATCTGTCCAGGCCGGGGCCGGCACCTGCAGTGTAGGTTATAACGTGTATTCTATAATACGTGTGGTCAGAGAACACATATTGGGTTAGAGAAGGTCAAAGTTTTAGTCTTATTGAAGATGAAATGTTTGGTACTTTTAAAGAAAACATGTCGGCATTGGCGTCACAAAGGAGGGGTGTGCGGCCCGCACCAGGGTGACACCAAAATGACTGACAGTCATTTTGGTGTGGCCCCCCCCTCTAAAAAGTCGGCACTTGGTCATGGACCGAGAGCCCGACAGAAGCATTGGCGTCACAAAGGAGGGGTGACAGTCATTTTGGTGTGGCCCCCCCTCTAAAAAGTCGGCACTTGGTCATGGACCGAGAGCCCGACAGTGGCAGGAGAGAGGAGGGGATCCGGCAACATACCTCATCCCGCTGGGTGAACGTCACCTCTCGCTGCCGGAGTCCATCACCAAGATGGCCGCCGGGAGGTGTCAATCAGATGACCACACATGCGCGATGACAACATGGAGGGGTGTCACATGGCCTCGGGGCGCCCCTGCTTGTCAACCATACAATGTGGAGGCCCATTTTAGGAAGCTCATTTCACTCTATGGAGATGGTGTACAGCCTCGGGGGCAGACATGATGGATCCAGGTCCGTGCATCGTGTGTATGCAGCTGTCAGAACTCTGAGCTGTGAGGGTGCACAGCTCCTGCGCCTCCATAGACTTTCATGAGCTGCCCGCATTCTTCCCTCAACTCAGCTTTTCTTGCAGTATAGAGCAACACGCCCCATGTGAATGAGGTCTACAAGCAGAACATGCCTCCCTTTTTATATGAGGTTCATACCAGCCGTACCTTGAAACGTCCAACTTTATTGCTCACGTACACTCCATTCAGGTCTCCAGACAGCAGCATGGTGACCTCCAGTGCCATCCATGCTTCAGTTTTCTGCATCCTCTCTGTGGTGGGAACGGGGCACCTTGTACCTGGCATTGAGCCAGTGTGGGGAAAAATGCCAGTCACCGCAGTTGGTGTGACTGAGCCGTTACCTGTCCTCTGTGCACCCCTCTGATTTAGTTTTACGTTGGCTTTGCCCAGAATTTGGGAAGTCGAGCCCCTAGTAACAAATTCCCAAAATTTTCCTTTCAGTTGTTCACTCACATTTTCTTTTCTTCAGTCTAAAATTGAAAGGCTCTTAAAGTGACATTCGATTCATCCCTATGTACTGCAGTTCTGGAACCCGCCTGAAGATGGCACTGTAGAGTAAACGGGGCACATAGAGAACAATTGTATTGTATGTGCCTTGCTGGTGACTGGTGTTGAGCAAGTGCAGGAACCCGCTAGTCCCCACATGTAGAGTGAACGGGCCCTTAGCTTTCTACTGTAAAGCACTGTGGGGGGAATGTATCAAAACGTGAGCAGACAGACTCTGGAGCAGTTGCCCATGGCAACCAATCAGCTTCTCTCTCCAGTTCAGCTAAGCTTTGAAAAGCTGATTGGTTGCCATGCACAGCTGCTCCAGAGTTCATTTATCCTGTTACGCCTCAGCTTTTGCAGCCACTTCCTGTCTATATGCACTCCAGGGGCAGCTGCATGACATTTCTCAGGGCGGGTGACAACAGTGGTCTGTGCTTGAGTAATGTGTGCTGTACAGCTACTTAAAAGAGAACAATGGGGTAACCTTTTTATCCCATAGTTCTCTTTAGGGTCACAGGAGGACATATACTAACCGCCTCCCGTGACCCAAAACTCAGTATACAGCGGGCTATTGCCCACAATATACTGATAGCGCTGCAGCCGGGACGGATCCACCCACCTGTTTGAGTGACAGCTGGCTCTGCCTATCTAGAGGCAGAGCCAGCTGTGCCCGCCCCGTCCCTAGTCTGTTCCTCCAGTCAGTGCTGGAGGTTCGGAGAGGGGAGGGGGGCATCCCTGTGGGGACAGTCACGGCTCTCTGCAGGGAGATGATCGTAAAGGGAACGAGGGACGGTATGTGTTCGCTCTCTTCCTGATCAATAGAGCCGACCTGTGACCGCTTCAATGTCACAGGTCGGCTCTAACTATGAGGATTAGTGGAAATCACCCACCTCATAGATCTCCTTTTAAAGTCTTCATCAGAATCACATGTGACAGGGTGACAACACAGGAGCAGATGAGGACAGAGGGTTGTCACCCCATAACAGGAAGTACAAGGACCCTCAAGGCGGGATCATCACGTACTCTTTTAATGAAAGCTTCAGGTGAAAAAATATTTCACTGGTGGCTTGTACGTGCACACTTGGGCGATCCCGGGACCGCTCGTTCGTGTGCGGTTGCACACAGCGTTTGCTGAAAATGGGCACATTTATTTTTTTTTCCGTAACAAGCACCGCATGTTTTTTTTTTTTTCTCAGCTGCAAACGTGTGCAATTGCATGGCGGGAATTGCTGTGGAAAACCACGTGATCTGCCTGGGGCGACCAGGGTGCCATAAGAAAAGAATGGCACCGCCAGTGCAATCGGCGGTGGTGTGCGATTCCGTGACTGCTGGGCCTTCCGGGCGGTTTCCTGCTCGATTGCCGCGAGGTCACGGATTGCACAAGTGTGAACCTGGCCCATCTCTAAACCCATCATTGCTGAAAATACAGCCCCACCCCACCACCCCCTCATTGCAGCATGATGTCTATACCCTGTAGGCGGTGAACGATGTTGCTTCTGTGTTGGGGACGCCAGTCTCGTGCCGTGACCCCCATGTTGAGGTTCCCTCTCTGCATATGCCCCTGTTCACAGTCCTCCTGAACTTCAGTCACATCACCGCCGGCTCGTACTGGAAACGCCGCGTGAGCACGCCGCCTTTATGGCTTTTCTGGGATTTGGAGAGTTGGAAGGGTTTGGTAGAATGTTATATGGAAAGCAGATCCCAGCTTGGCCAGGCACCAGCGAGCAATATTCATAGCTGAGAAGTCGCACCCAGTTTACATGGAGGGAAATGACAGCTAGTTCATGAACTGCCGTCCAGTATATGTCTGCCGCTGCATAGGAGGAGGACAGATGTACAGAGCGGCCTCTCGCAGGCTCCGAACGCTGCATCTGGAGGATTTGTGAGGCCGCCGGAAAACACTTTCCTGAT